ATAATATAATATAATATAATATAATATAATATAATATAATATAATATAATATAATATAATATAATATAATATAATATAATATAATATAAATGGAGCATCCCAGCCATGGTTTTCCAGGTGTGATTTTCCAGGAATATCCATGGCTGTGGCTCTCATTCCTTGCTGCTGTTTCTCCCCAGAGCCGCCTGAAGGAAGCGGTGCAGCTGCTGGAGGATTACAAACACGGCACTCTGCCCCCAGGAGTCACCAACAAAGAGGTCAGAGCAAAACCTTCTCTTCTCTTCTCTTCTCCTCTCTTCTCCTCTCTTCTCCTCTCTTCTCCTCTCTTCTCCTCTCTTCTCCTCTCTTCTCCTCTCTTCTCCTCTCTTCTCTTCTCCTCCCTCTCCCTCTCTTTGTTGTTTCTGTGCTAAAATACAAACTTCTGCTGCAATTCAAAGCAAAAAAAGGTCATTTTTTTAGCTGGATGAAAGCTTTTGTCTCTGCTGTGAGTTCTCGGAGCAGCAGCAGTGAGGCCTCAGCCCCTGCCCTGTTCCCATCACAGGAATTTCCATTTCTGCCCCATGTGAAGGCTCTGGGGGCTGCTCCTGGAGGCTGGAGCAGCACTGGGGATGTTCCTGCCCTGGGAACGGGAGCAGGATTTTGTGGGATCCTCTGGATGGGCAGCTCCTCGCAGCCTTTGGGGATCCCTGAGGAAAGGATGCTCTGGGGACTTTGGGACAGGATGGTTCGCTGGGTGAGCTCTCCAACCCCACCCCATCCCTTCTTCTGGAATTTCTCCTGATATTCCTCTGCACGTGGAGCTTGTGGGAGCAGAGATGAGGATTTTAGAGGAGCCAAACGGCTTCTGGAATATCCTACCTCCAAATCTGTGCCATAAAACAAAAACCATCAATTTTTGTGGGTGTTACCTCGAGCTCTTCCCCATTCCTGTCTGGAGAGTCCTGCCCACAAACCAGCCCAGGGCTTCTTTATGGCTGTGTTGGTGCATCCAGCACAAAATGAATCTGTGTGTGATTAAATGTGTGATTTGATGCCCTGGAAAGGTGAATTTCTATCAGAGCTGCCTGGGGAATGTGAGGAGCAGCAATTCCAGAGGACCCATCCCACATAAACAGGGATGGAAGTGCTGGGCAGCCTTTCCCCTCACCCTGCAGGTCAGAAAAAACCTCTTTTACTTGTTTCTCCACGTTCACAAGCGATGATTTCCCCTCATCCATGCAGGAATGACAATTCCTGTTCACTTCAGGAAGGGACAGGTGCTGTGCTGGGGAGATTCCCACAAAAAATAACCGGGAATGTCAGCAGGGATTGGTGTCCTGCTCTCCTGGTGTCACCACGCTCTTCCAAGCAGCACCTGATGGAAGGAGAGGGGCTGGGAGGAGGAAGAGCTGGGAAGGAGGAAGGGCTGGGAAGGAGGAAGGGAAGAGCTGGGAAGGAGGAAGAGCTGGGAAGGAGGAAGGGAAGGAGGAAGGGAAGAACTGGGAAGGAGGAAGGGAAGGGCTGGGAAGGAGGAAGAGGCTGGGAAGGAGGAAGGGAAGAGTTGGGAGG